TGTGCATATATATATAATAATAATATAATAATAGCATATAATATAATAACATATGTATTATTATATTATATCGATAACACGTTTTTAATACGAGAATTATACAGTTGCATTTTGTTTCAATTAATGAAAGAAAATACGTTTAGATTTACGTTAACAAGTTTATGGCAGATTTTCAAATAATATTTTGCTATTTTCTATCCTAACGTGAGAATTTTAGATACCTTAAAAATGGTTGTCCAAATCTAAAAAGAAATTTCGGTGACCTTGAAAATATTATACGAGAATGTACATATATCTAGGTGTTGCTTATTTCTCCAAAAATGGTGTATTATTTATTCCCGATGAAAACTAATCGGTATTATAATCAGGAAATTATAGTCAATAAATATTAAAAAAGTAAAAAATCGAGTGATTTGATTTAGGATTATTCAGACATCTTTGAGAATCTTTCATGAATCTTTGGAAATTATTTCGTGAAATTATATGAATCTAAAATATATTTTATGTACTTTTTATGAAACTGAAAAATAATTCGTGAATCTTTTTAGAATTTTTCATGAAATTTTGGAAAATTTTTTTATAATTTCTTGAAAAATTTTTTGTGATTGTCAATTTTCCTTGAACCCTTCGCAAGTATCCCTTGAATTTTACAAGAACTTTTTTACGTATCTTTCAAAATTTTTCCGAAGATTTGTCGGAAATGCTTCGATTTTGACGATAAGAATCGTGTGTAACACCTCTCTTATAATATTCATACCAAACCATAACAGTCAGTCGAAGGAAGTCGTTCGAGCAGTTACATGAAATAGTACCAGATTCGAAATAACGAATTCTATAGTCTATTGTTCAAAACATCACAATCGCTTCTTCATTCTTCGCATTCGAATCACGTTGCCCAATATTAATTTAACAGTCAACAATGATGATACAAATCGTACATCAGTACAAATAACGTTTGCCTCAATGCTTCACGAAAGAATACAATCCATCCAATTTAACTCATGACGACATCATAATATTATTATTCTAATACAAATCAAGTTCTGTAATGATTCATAAAACAATAAATAACTTCTAATCTAATTTTCTTTTGTAAATAAGCCTCATTAACATGAATTATTATTATTAAAATTATTATTAGAATTATTTCTGAGAATGTGATAATTATATACTTTAATATTAAAATTTTTAGTTGACCAATTGATCAATTTGACTTCTGTGTGGCTTTATGGTTGTTACGTGTGTTAAATATGTATTTATCTACAGTGTGGTTGACCGCAATCCCGGAAATTATAACATTTTTATCATAATCGCGAATTGATTATAAAACAGGATATACGTAATGTAATAGTTATTCTTATGGTATTACGTTTCCTTGGAATTACGTACTAAACATTTTTATAGAACTTAGTAGAAATTCATTTTCTTTTAATTTTAACTTCGTAGTAATTTAGGTCTTAAACTTAATTTAATAAGTGATTACTTATTACAGATTTATTAATGACATTATCTAATAAATAAACAGTAAATTTTGTATGTAACACATACTTTTGAAATTCCTTTGAAATTTTATTGCTCCTCAAATTCACTGTTATTTTTTATTTATTTATTTTTGCTATTATTTACTATTTATTACATTATATTATTTTTATTATCGTTATTTATTATATTATACTTTATTATATTAAACTTTTATTAATAATATTTTTTTCTTTGTCATATGTCATATTATAATGAACTCAAACTCATTAAAAATTAAATATTTTGCAATTTTTTGTGATATGAATTGTTAGTCTTAAACTCATTTCTTCAAAGTTAAATTTAAATGATAAATAATGTTATTGAACGTTGTTTTTTGCATGTAAGAATTATTATCAAACATGTATTGTTTTCTTCATTTACATTATATACAGTGACTCTAGTTTACCAAGTCTGTACAAGTTTTATGTTGGTATTTCATTGAAAAAGATGAACATGTGATATTTATCTTGATAAGAAAACAAAAAGATGTATTTGAATTTTAAATTTCATAAATTATATCATGAAGATTTTAATCAAATACTAACTCTTTTTTACTTTGAAATAGTTGTACAAAATACTTATGAAGTTATAAGAACTTTGTAAAATATTAAAGTGATTACTCTTCTTATAGGTTGACGTTAAGTTCAACAAAGACAAGAATCTCACCTATTCCATCTCATATACTCCAAAGAAAGAAGGACCACACAAGGTAAAGGTGCTGTTCGCTGATAGAGAAATTCCTAAGAGCCCATATAGGGTCAACGTAGAGGCACAAGCAGGTGATCCTGGTAAAGTTACAGCAAGTGGACCAGGATTACAACAAGAAGGAGTTAAAGTTAACAAACCCACTTTCTTTGATATATTCGCAAAGGATGCTGGACGTGGTGTACCAGAGGTTATCATCCTTGAGTCACAGGTACTACTGAATAGAATTTTACAATTTTAGCACTTACAATTTTAGTTTTAAACATTCAGAAAGTAAGACCTTCAAAGAAAGTCTTAAATTGAAGAGGTCGAAGAAAGTTTTAATTGAATTTTAATCATAGTACTGAATATATGTTTTATATATAATAATAGGTAATAGGTTTTAGTTATAGGTTGTACTGAATATGATGGCACTATTGTTTGATAGAATAATTTGAGTGACCTAGAAGGCTCAGAAGAATTTAAAGAAATTGTATTTGAACATGGATTTGAAATTACCAGATTTAAATGGAAATAAATTAAGATTTTCAGTGGTCTAATATATAGACCATGTGTTTGTAATTTTGCATACAAATTTTTATAAATGCAAAATTTTTATTCCTATTTATTTATTCATTTATTTAAATTATGCTTCATTTGAATAAGGTTTATTAAAGAGTTTAAATTCTTTTAATACAAGGTGGTACTTTAAATGATAATGTAAATTTTGTTTGTTCATTTGACTTCCAAAATTAGTTATATTTCTGAATATGAATAATTAAAGTTTGATATGCTCATGTATTAATATCTGAAATTATAGTGTATGAATAATGCTGATTAAGTACAGAAACTTGATGGTGTTGTATACCATATATGTGAAATAGTATAACATTAATTCAAGAGTAATTACATTATGTTTAATTAGAAACTATTACCATGTATTTAAATTTTTTCCATAAGAATTTTCAAAAATTAGCAAGGATTATTTTCCCACACTTGTGATAATTTTTCGAATAATTGAAAATTTGAAAATTGGATAATGATGTAAATTAGAGCTCTACCCGAGTTATTATATTTACCCAAGTTGTTTAATTTACAATACTGTAATTATTTGAATTATTTAAACTACGTCGTTATAAATATTTAAGTTATTTAAATTATGTTAAATTAAGCAAAATGTAACTACTCAAAATTAATACTAGAAACTGTGTAGAATAATAACTTTAAATGTAGGTAATTTAGAAATAAATAATAGCTAAGGCGTTATAAAATATATTTAATCATGTTTGTAATTAAAAGATTTCAACTCTAAATTTTCTGATTTTAAACACATATTTCTAATTCTGATTTGTAGGATGTCGACTCAATGATACCTGTGAAGTTAGTTCAAACCTTATTTAATACCTGGAGATGCGAATACACCCCTACAAAAGCGGGTTTACACACAATAAATGTCTTCTTTGCCGGCAAGTTAATACCAGGAAGTCCCTTCAGCGTTAACGTGGGCTCGGTATCAGATACTAAGAAATGTAAAGCCTATGGACGAGGACTGGTACCCAATGGAGTACGTGTCCAAGACGATGCAGAGTTCTTTATCGTCACGAAAGATGCCGGCGAAGAAGTACCTGGAGTCAAAGTCATTGGTCCAGGAGGAGTCAGTCAACCTGTACAGTAAGTAATTTTATTTTTATTTCAACTATAAAATCTCGATTTAACACATGAACTACCATGATGGAGTTTCTGAATCTAACCAAAAATATCAGGTCATTTGAATTTCTGTATTTTATAAATTTTGAGGAGTATATAATATATTTGTATTTTTGAAGCTTGTGATTCTTGTTTGAAGAAGAAAATTGAAGTGAGTTATCTCATAGTTGTTCTCATTAAATGGAAAAGAAGATGTTAAAGAAAGACCAGTTTTGGCATCGTTTGGAAATAAAAAGTTTTGTATCGTTGGAAAACTTCTTGTTTATTGTTTCGACTGGTCCCAGGCATGCGAAGATATGAGACCCACCTTCAATGAGGTTAGGTGACGGCATTTGGGATTCGACCAACAAGGAGCCTGCGAGAGGTCAGCACAAGTCCACGTGCGTGGTACCCTTAGACTTCAGCGAACTATGGGACCATAAACGGATATTTTTTGGACGCGGCCATTTTCAACAAAGTCATCCACGTACGAGTGACCTTCATGCACCTCTGAGTGAAGGGGTTCCTCCACCACGGTCTTCGATTGAAGGACGTTTTCCTCTTTTTGAGGTGACCGATTCGTGGACCGAAGAAACGTCCTTTGTCCCCTTTAAACAATCAGAGCACCGTTAGCTCTTTAGGGAACTCATGATTTTTCTTAGTTCGATCACTCAGAAAATCGAGGAGTCAGTCGTTCTTACGTCTTTCAGTTCTCATTGAAGACGTAATTCAGATGTCTGACTATCTAACGTTTGACTATCCTTAAATTTCTTGTGAAACGTTGATACCGTCGGTATTCGACTCGGTTGCAGTCTAGCGTTCGACAGATCTTAGCTATTCTTCTTGCTCACGATCATTGAACTGGTTGCTCGATATTAATTTAGCGGGCAACATTGACAAAGCGTAACATGGCGAATTTACGACCCGCCAGAATTCAGCGAAGAATTCAAACGCGAATGATGGCAGAACTGATGGGAAAATTGTGAAGAATGAGTCGAAATACGTGGAAGCCAGACTGATCGAACATATCAAGCGTCATGTTTCGTCCTCTTGCTCTTCGATACTGACTCAGTAATTAGTTTGTGGAGTTTATAGATGGTTGAATGTCTTCTGTCTTCCTCGCTGTGTTCGAGTGGAGTGCTTGGTATGAACTTCTGTTGCTTCTTGTGGTTCCTACTGATGGGATCCTATGGTGCACGTGACTATCCTTCAAGTAGGAATCCATCTATTGGCGAGGGTGAGAACGTTGGTCGCCATAAGTTATATAGACGATTATATAGCAAACATTTAGGGACTACATCATGAATCTAAAATTGATGCATCAGTTTTAAATGAACTATTGTTAGAAGCCGATACGTGGAATCAATTTGAAGCACATGATGTTTTCCTCGTGGATCGTGGCTTTTGAGACTCCCTGAAGGAAGTCACAAGAAGAGAATTCATTGCTAAAATACCATCATTTGCAAATGGATTTTGGAAACCATTGACAGTTGAAGAAGCCAATCAATCACGATTCTTTATATAAAATTGGCTTATGGTCTAAGTAATTAATTGTGCGCATAAAAAGCTGTTTTGTAAATGTGTCTAAAATATTACATTGCCCATCTTATTCCATAACTTCAAAATAGCTTGTGCCATTCTAAACGCAATGTTTCATCCAATTCATACCTCTGGCCTTGATTACCTAATTATAGACAGGATTTTGCAATATTCCAATCAGATTAATTCTTTGGGAGAACTGGTACATATAGGAAATATGAACATAAGGCAAGCAGATTTCCAATATATAGGAGTTGTACAATTAGAATCTTACCAACATTAAGTTTCGAAGATCTATGCTTATATAAAACGGAGATTCTGATTTCCAAATTGCAGCAACATCATATCGCATGGATTATCAAAAAATTGCAACACCAATGTTGTTGCACCGCGTGGATGTAGATGAGCTCCACGCGGAGGGGGCAGCGATGGTATACTTGTGTTGCCCTTTTTCTCAGTGTGCCGAATCTTTACGAGACACTGAGCACTTAGGTGTTGTAATAAATCACAGTTTGTCTTGGTTGTATTTACACTTTATTACACGATTATGATTTGTTTATGTGTGATTGGTGCGTGTGCTGTATCGTCTCCGCCTCTGCCGTTTTTCGTCTTGTCTTTCGTCTCCCGTTTTCTGTCTTCTTGTTTTCTCCCAGCTATCGTCTTACGTCTTCGACTCCTCAATACCGTCTTACGTCTTCGAGCTCTAGTTCGCGTCTGATGTGTCTTGTCTGAACTTCAAAACCGTCTGATGTTTTCTGTGTGAATTCTCGCTAACGTTATCTGATGTGTTCTGTTTGATTTCTCCAAACCGTCTTACGTCTTCGACTTCTCACGATCGTCTGATGTCTTGTTTTATAATTTGTTGATCCTCAAGAAGGACGGTGAGGCGCGTCGACCAAGTATTATTGCCGTCGCAACAATTGTATCGCATGGTTTATCAAAAGTATCAAGTCATCGTAGAACCAAATAACAGCATTTTACTGAAAATGAAAATGATTCCACGGCATTTAAATGCTTTAAAATATTTTGTATACATATTAATAGATACAAGTAAAGTCGTACTGGAAGCGGAACGGCACAAACATGTGGATGCAAAGTTGGAGAACGTGTTGTTAGGTATTCTTCCCATGTAACAATATTTCTGATATTTTGGTTTTGCTTAATTCAAACTTCCAGTTCATTTGCCAGCTGAAATCCTCATTGATTATTTCCAAGATGGTCCAGTATCAGAAGAAGAAGACGATGAAACATGACGCTTGAGGATGTTCGATCAGTCTCATTTTCGGTTTTTAACGGTCTTGAAGGAATTTTTTATTTCCAGACGATGCCAAAAATGACATTTGTTAACATCTACCTTTAGATTATATACGGTGCAAGAGGGTTCATAGAAATCTCTTAAATATGAGATAGCTTGTTATGGTCTTTCTGGGTTAGACAACCAGATATGAGTTAGCTAGTAGTTGGTACTCAAAGTATTAAAATCCTTCATAATTACAGTTATTTGTTGTTAATTATGGTATATTTGTGACATATGTATATTATTGGTCTTATATTCTTCAATATCTTGTATTATTTGTTGCAAATTTATATTTTATTATGTACTTAATATTCTAAATCCCTAATCAATGTTCTTATAGATCTCTGCATAACTTGTTGGATGTATTATATGAATACAAGATGCCTTAATACGTTGATTTCAAATTGATATAGCTATTCTAGAGATTAAATAGATAAAAAAGTGTGTTTTTGGAACCATATCAAGAAAGTATTCAGTATCATTATATAGGATAAAAGTATCATTATTCATTGAGGAATAAATGTGTTTTTCATTCTTTTTACCCTATTGCTTGTTGATAAACAATTTTGTACTAACAAATTGTGACATAATTACAATTTGCAATTGTATTTATCCTCCTTTTCAAAATTTCATAACTTATTGACAAAGATAAAACAAAATGTAAAACTTTGCATTTTTTAATAATCTAAATTGTTTATAAACAATTTTATTATTTATAGTCATAAATTGCATATATACAGTGTCCTAAAATTAATTATTAAGGTAGTGAATTTATATGAAGAAACAAATCAAATATGTTTCACTTTCCAGAAAATTAAATTTAAAATCACTTAAACTGCCATAACTTTGGCCAGCAATAAGAATAAATTTCTATTACACAAATTTCCTCTAATATTCCAGCAATTTATGACTTATTAATAGATAGATTTAGAGTATAAGCTAATTTAATGAACTATTTAAAAAATACAAGAAAAATAAAAATAAAATATATAAAAATAATTCCAGAAAGTAAACTCAACAACATCAAAAACAGATAAATAATGTTATATTTTTCTTTTTTTTCAGAATAACCAAAGTTGACCCGAAAACATACAAGTGCAATTATACACCAACTAAAGAGGGGCGCCATGTGGTAATGATAACATATGGTGGGAAAAATATTGACAAGTCACCTTTTGAAGTGAATGTTGGCCCTTATATAGAATTGGCAATCAGGGCCTTTGGTGCTGGTCTTCATGGTGGTATCGTTGATCAGACAGCAAAGTTCATTATTGACACAAAACGGGAAACTTCTGGTCTTGGATTTGCTATCGAAGGTCCTTCCAAGGCCAAAATCTTCTGTCATGATAATGGCGATGGAACTGCCGTTATATCTTATTTACCAACTGCACCAGGTCGATACGCAGTTCATATACGATGCAATAATGAGGATATTCCTAAATCACCATATATCGCAAATATTTTACCAAAAGCTGATTTTGATGTTGACAAGGTTTGATTCTATTTCTATATTTGACAATTTAACAAGTAAATTCAAAAATTATCAACCTTTGTACGGAAATTCCTTTGTCCTTTTTATATATTTAATAATTGTTGGTAATTGATATCAAATTTCTAAACAAAAACAAGTTATATTTATAAAACCTATGGATCTACTTGATTAATTATAACATAATCAGTTTAAAATTTTTATTTGGTGGAATTAGGTGATGTTATCCATAGGGTAGCATTACATTTCACAGTTACTATATAAAGCTATGAAAAAGATACAAAAAATGATAGTAATTTCTGTATTTATAACAGTGTAGAAACAAAGATATCTCTAGCAACACTTTCTCTTAAATAATTCAAATATCTCAAACGATACGACTCAACAAGTCTAATGATTCTATAAACATTCTTAAACACTCTTGAACTCACTAATGACTGAGAAAATATCTTTCTTATCGCCTTTCTCTCCCATACTTACATACTCAAGCACCTTTAACTGCTTGAACCCCAAAAGAGTCAGTATTTCTATGGACCTCATGAAGGGGCTTCTTGTTAGGCTTGATTAGGCTTGATTAGGCTGAGGCTCTTGAGAGGCAGTAACCTCTGTCGACCCTCGAAAGTGAAAATCGCTTTCTCTTTTATAATTCTCATTCTGTCTTTTAAATTATATTCTTAGCTGTCTAAAATATTCAGCAATAGTAACTAAGTGAATTAAGCTACTTTTTAAGTTATTTTTGCATTCTTGTTTTTTGTAAATGTGTGATATTGGACTAGTCTTAAATTTCCATCTATGTAATTTTATAAATTTTGTACAAGGGTTAAATATATCTATGATGAGAAATTAGCAAAGTATAATTTTTAGGTTGAAGTATATGGACCAGGAGTACAAGCAGAATCTCTACCCAGTGGAAAACAAACGAATTTTACAGTAGATGTAAGCAAAGCTGGCCAGGCACCATTGGAAGTCATTGTACAAGATGCTCATGGAAGAGATGTTCCAGTTCGACTTGATGACAATCACGATGGTACCGTGCAATGTCGCTATACTCCTACAACTGGATCAAACCATATTATAATGGTAAAAAAATTTAAGATTTTAAAATTATTTAAGATACTATTTAATTTTTAAATCTGCTGATATGTGAGATTGAAAAATATTTATCGAGTTTATATAATCTTAAAAATATTAAAAGGATTAAATTAAATGATATTCAAGAATGATTTAAGCGGATTTATTTCAGAATTTGTTAACTGAGTCTACACCTCTTTGATTAATTGAAAAATAACATTTTGCAATGATTGTTTTATGACAAACTGAAATAATTTTTTAAAGTTTAATAAAATTAAAAAAAAAGTTCTTTATTATTTTTAGCTAATTATAGCACCTACTATTACAATAATAACAATTTTAACCGTTGTTAATTTCTAAATTAAAATTACTTTATAAATTGGAAACATAAGAATACTGTAATCAACATGTTTATTGAGACTTCCTTAGTATTAAATTATATAGTATAAAGTTAATTCCAATAGCGGATAAAGTTTCGATACTTATGATAAAATTAAACAAATTTTGTAAAATATAAGGAATTACTAATAAGAATACAAACAATAAATTAATAATATAGTTATAATACACTAAATATAATTAATGTTAATATTTGTAGGTGATTTATGGTGGTGTAGACACAAAACACTCTCCCTATAGAGTGAAAGTAGAAGCACCTTTGAATCCTGCTATGATATCAGCATTTGGACCTGGACTCGAAAAAGGAGTCAAGTCAAATACACCAACGCATTTTAACGTGGATTGTCGTGAAGCTGGTCCAGGTGAACTCCGTGCAACCATATTAAATTCAAAAGGAAGGGAAATTCCTTTATCACTTACGGACAACCACGATGGTACATACACAGTTGCGTATATTGTACCTGAACCAGGATATTACCAAATTCATTTTACTTACGGAGGGCTGAAAGTACCACAGTGTCCACTCACTGTACACGTTCAACCTCATGTCGATGTGTCCAAGTTTAAAGTCGATGGTCTTGCACGAAGTAAGTACAAAGTGATCTACTTTTATATTCTCGCCATTATCAATTTTTATGTTAAAAATATGATATATTTAAGGAAAAATGCACAGAACTCTTCAAGACACACACGTGCACACAAAATCTAATTCACTATATCTCCAATAGCAAGAAATTCGTAATATTTCTTAAAATCATATAGCTTAAATAATTTAATTTATTGGGGTAAGAAACAACACAGAAATATCAAAAGAAATTATTCAAATTTTTTAGCGGATCAACGTATATCTTTGTACTGAATTGGTTTTTAATTTCATTGTTATATTTTTCCAAGGATATCGATTAACGTCAGTGTATGATTTTATTTAACCATAGTCAAAAATTTCAGTAATGATTATGGCTGAAGGGGAATATGCAATATGAAATACTAAACTAGCGTTACCAAAAAGAGCAGACATACCAATAACATATGAATAATAAGAACTGTCAATATTTATAGGATATGTTTAAGTATGGATACAATTATTTATTTGAAACCCATCTAAGGCTTATTTAAATTTGTGGGAGAATAGTTTTTGAACTAGCTATTATTATTTAATACATGAATGTGTAGTACAGTGTCATTATGTATTCTGTGATTGTTTTTAATTTCAAATATGATTGAAATTTAGTTAATATTCATACTTTAGTTATATCATATTATATATCATATACTTCAAAAGTTTCTCTCAGTAGTGAGAAGAATATAATCATTTACTGGTTATTCCAGCAGACCACTATGAGGGACAGAAGGAACTTATCATCATAATTGTAAAACAATCAGTATAAACATATGATTATAGAGTTAATGCAGTTTGCATAAATTTCAATTTTATCACATTAGGAGTATTCATTTATAACAGTGTTATCTATGCATAAAATAGGTACTTGTTGTCTTTTCCCTATTTTAAAGATGAGAGAGAAAGAGAGAGAGAGAGAGAGAGAGAGAGAGAGAGAGAGAGAGAGAGAGGGAAAGATTAATAAAAATATTTAACTATTTCATACAATAATATGATATTAGATGGTACCTGTAGTACTATGAGATTGAATAGGTGTCATCAGAAATGCTTCTTGTAATCCTTCAACCATTAAGACTTGACAGAACTTACTCTTTACCTAGAAATATTTCATTCAATGATATTTGATCCTCAATTGTTCAACAAATTGAATTCAAAATTCTGGTTTGATAACCAGAATTTTTCTATACTACATTAAAACAGTAACAATATACAAATACTGCCTAGTATAGAAAATGTACAGACATCTAGTGACAACACTACATGTATTTCCTATTCGCACATTTATATATTTGAAATAAAACTTGAAAAAAAGCGGAAGCTAAAACTTGGAAACTAAATCCGTGTCGCAGCGGCTCCAGTGAACAGCTTGCAGCAATTTCGTGTGATAACGCAAGATGCGGGGAAAGCAGCAGACTTGCAGGTGTCGATAACCGCTCCTTCAGGGAACCGTGTGAAGGCTCACGTGGTACCAACTCACGACGGTTACTTGGTTAACTTTACACCGACAGAGCTCGGCGAATATCTCTTGGGAATTAGCTTCGGCGGAGAACCGATATCCAATCAGCCTTATCGACTGACTTCTGTTCATGGCTCTGACCCGGGAAAGGTTCGAGCTTCTGGGCCAGGTTTGTCACATGGCATAGTGAACAAACCAGCTGAATTTGTTATTGACACTCGTGGAGCTGGACAAGGTAGCCTCGGTGTTACCGTGGAAGGCCCCTGTGAGGCTGCTATTAATTGTCGAGACAATGGCGATGGAACGTGCTCCGTTGCTTATATGCCGACAGAAATTGGCGATTATGGTATCAATATTACATTCAACGAGGAACATATTCCTGGCTCACCCTTTCAGGCTATCGTGGTAAAAGACACCGATCTGTCGAAGATAAAGGTCACTGGAAACGGCATTCAACCAAACGGTACCGTTTGTCGAGTTCTTGCGAGGTTCTGCTTTCATTAACAGATTTCGAGCGTTTTCCTTTCTCTTTGTGTGTAATAATATGTTAAGATGTAGGTTAATATAACGTTTATGACAAGCGGATGAAGTATATTTCTTTAGTTTATCTTGCAATATTAGGAATTATTTTCTAATTTATTTAGTGTTGTACTAATTGTAAGAAGAAGGGAAGAACTGATATAATATTTTGTTTGAATTTTAAATTTCTATGCTTATAAATTGCTTAAAATTTAAGGTTTAAAAATTATGTTACTATAAATTACTTAGAAACAATGTTACGTTTTGAAAACTATATTGTTTAGTTCCCTTTCTGAAATATTATGAACAAATTTTTAAAACAGTTTGGTGATTGTATTTAATATTTATTCTCTTTCAAAAAATATTATAAGTATCTTTCATTATTGTTATTTATCTAAACAGTTTCTTTAGTTATTTATGATAAAAAAGATACATATTTAAAATGAGGAACTTGATTAGATAAGGAGTGATGTATAATTGAGATTAATATCAATATGATACTTTAAAAATATTATACGATTTTCATCATATTTGATTACAAAATATGTTAATGATTATAAGTAACTTATTCTCTTTTGTGCAATATGAAAATTTTGTGCAAAATTGAAATATACTTCATCCAAATAATATTTTAACATAACTTATACATTCTTCTTTATTCACAAGCACTATAGTTTGCAATTATATAAATGATTTTTATTTATCTTTATTTCCCTGTATTAAACAGTTTTATATCTGCACCAGGAAAATTGCACTCATGCATGCTGTGTGGTGTTTTGTATTTATACTTCTGTAATGAAACAATCTAAAATGAAATATTACATTAATCCTTAACAAGTACTGAAAATATTTTTTTTGTATCAAGGATATACATATGATGAGAAAACTAAACATTTGATAAGAAAGAAAGAAAGAACAAGATGGGAGTGCTATCATAAAATAAATCCTAGCAGTGAGGAAGTCTTCTTTTCTTTATATTAAAGAATACAATCAGTAACAAGAATTGGAAAGTGAAAAGTACAAATTTTAGGCCATATTTATTTTAATTAGGTGATATAATATATGTATTATTGGTTTCCCAACAAATTTTTGATATCAGAAACTAATGATACACACATGCACACACACACACACATATATATGCCATTTTTTTGTAGTGACTGAAAATATCAGTTTCTTTCCAAGATATATTGGTGTGTCATTGGTTATTTTAGATAGATACTGAATGACATACATGGTGTGTCATCGGTTATTTCAGAAAGATATTAACACACTTAATGCGTCCTTGGTTTCATATAGGTTATGACACAAGGGTTATCATTGGAAACAATGACAAACTAGCTACTGCATTGTTTGTTCTATAGAAATTATGAAAAAAAGTTCTGTGTCACAAAATGTGATGTGAATGACCTAATGATATTTTGTAAAAAAATGTGGATATAGACATTAAACCTGCCTGTTCACTGTCTGTTCATTTTTACAATATATATGTAAGTGTGTCCATATTGTCTAAGAAATGTATGTAAATAGATTACAAGTAGATATTTTCCTTTCAATGAAGTTCTGTTGAAATTAAATGAAAATACATATATTTAAGAAAATGAAAATAGTAAAACAATAACTATGATAAACATACAATTTATATAAACATATTTTATTTTTAAAAATATATTTAGAAAATTAAATAGATGGCGCACTTTATATATAAATGGTTTTGTATTTGATTAAGACTATAATTAAATTATAATTATACTACGAACTATACGAACTATTTATACGTAATTCTCGATTTTTTGCTACTTCAATTTCAACTTTGAGTTTTCATTTATTCTTTGACTGCTCATTTACTGAGTTCACTTATCTATTTATGTCTTTTTACACAAACTTTCTTTTTTGCTTTTTATAATTTTTATTCTATAGAATCATTTCTCAGATACTTTCAAGTATATCTATTTAAAATTATGATTATCCGTGCATTTCGAGTACCTACAATTAGTTCGAATATAGAAATATATATATATATTTCTTTCATATTTGTAATCTAAACCAGTGATTCTCAAACAGTGTTTTGGAAAGTATTTTTTTGAAGTATTTTTTCTTTATGCCTTTCTGTTCTTCTTTTTTTCTAATTTGTCAGATAGGAAGATAACAATACCTAAAATAACAATGGCCGTTCTGTATAATTCAAAATTATACCTATCTTTTTTTATTATTTAATATATAATACATTTTTTAGTGTAGAATTTTAATAATTAGTTTATATCTATCCAGATGATTTTTAATATCCGATACCTAATTATTTATCTGTTCTAATTTAAATTGTCAAGTAAATAGATGATGTAGGTAGTTATCTCTAATATTACTGTTATTATTATTATTAATATTTTTTTTTTTATAAATTTCTGGACAAAGCGAATCTAAATAATATGATTACATATTCAAAAAATAGTTTATTTCCAACTTATATTTAGGTTCTTTATCTTTTTATTACGGAGAAGTGATGGTTTGCATATTTTGTTGTAACTTTTATCATCTTATCTTTTAAATCTGATTTCGCGTATTACTATAGCAAGGAAATTTGAGTAGTTATAGGTTATAGGCAATCACCCATGCACTTCTTGTGGCGTGCCGTTTGTCGTTTGGTGTTCATTATTAATAATTGCTATTTTTATTTAGAGATTAATGCTATTATATTTTATTTTCTTAGAATAGCATGACACAGCAATTTATATTTTTACCAATTTATATTTGCAATAAATATTTACACATTTGTACACGTATTGATGGAATAATATTGTAGTTCCATTTACTGCAATTCTCGTTCGCCAAATTTCATGAAAATTTCCAATTTCCATGATCTATCTTCCTCTTGCCATATCTTTAAAGGGATTCAAATGTCGAATTTAGTGATCGAATAAAAGCAATTTGTTAAATATGAAATTATATACATATGAATTATAGTCATACATGTATGTAATATTTTTATAATTTCCAGGTCCATGCGTAAATCGTGAAACGGAGTTCACAGTGGACGCGCGAGCAGTCGCGAAGACAGAGAACGATAACGACGAAGTTTCCTGCACGATTAACGATCCCAGTGGCGGTAAAATCGAGAAGATCGTTGCGCCACAAAGAGACGGAACGTATCGTGTCAGTTACATGCCGTTCGAGGAAGGACCCCATACCATAGACATACGTTATGGCAACGTGCCAATTCCTGGTTCTCCGTTCTCGGTTAACGTCCAATACTACAGCGACCCTAGCAAGTGTAAAGCATACGGACCAGGTTTGGAAGAGGGATACGTGAATAAGTTTAACTCATTCATCGTAGAGACGAAAGGTGAAGTTCAAGGGTACAGTACTATGCGTTGCAGACAAGAAGTCCACCGTTTCGGCACAGAGGCAACGGGGGTATTCCCCTCGCTGCGCCTAACATACTCGCACGTAGCTCCCACTCTTCTATGACACTACCGAAACCATTGTCTTTAGGTTCGGTAACGTTATTAACGTTAACATATTAACTATATTAACGGTATTAACGTTAACATAGGCGTAACCTATCCGTAAAATTTCTGTGCTCGGATAAAATACATTGCAAGCCTGCGAATATGAGAGTAATACTGCACAAGTATAGTTAAAAGTATAGTTAAGTATAGTTAAATAAAATTCGGAAATGAACATGCATTGGAAAAATCTGAAGTTAATGCTTTAGGGATGAGTCTATGCTTTTGAGTTTATTTCTTGCGTCTATTTCACTTCGTCTCGATTGTTTCGTTCGCTTTCTTTGTCACACAGTGCTATATAGTTAAGCTAATAGGAAGGGATCATTTCTGCCAATAAGGGAAGCGTGTTTACTCTACTTCTGCGATGGCGTTAGAATGGATGGGTTGGTGGTCATTCGGTCTTACGTTTTGCTCAGCGGACTTCTTCTCTGCAACGCACAGTAGAGAGATCCATGATGTAATCATGTACTGTACACAGCTGGTAAGTTGACAGTTGGGAAGACCGTGTCAACAATAGATTGCTTTTAGTTGGCAAGTTTACTTGGAATAGTCCACTCTTTTTAAAACATGAAGATTCGATAGGATAGAGATTTGTTTTACTATTATACTGTGTCAGAATATGTCAGAATATGAATTCATTAGTTTGGATTTCAGAAGTATTATAGATGGAGTATTTGTCTTGCCCTTGTGCAAACCCAACTGCCAATGTACTAGTCGCATACAGGAGAATTTGACTTTATATAAGTTGATTTTATATTTGAAAACAAGTATTAAAATCTTTTTTTATGTATTTTATAAATTTTGCCAAAAATTAAAAATTGATTTTTTACTTGTACTTATACACAAGTCTCCTAATTCTATTATTTATTTAAAATTAATGGTATAAATACAATTAGAGTAACAATAATTTTGTTCATTTTGACTGACTTTTTGTTAAAATGTTTTCTGAGGTTCAAACTTTTATTCAAGAGGAAGAAATTCTGTACTTTCTTTTTAACATTAGATTAAATTCAATCATCCTAATGTATCTTTATGTATTATTCTTTACCTTTAATATGAGTATGCAGACTACATTGCGATAAAAACTTGATGGTTTTAGATAGATGAAATTGTCAATGCATTTTTGAAAATCCTATATTATAATGATAATAGTTGTTAATTACTATTTACTATTACATGTTCATTATTCCATACCAGTGATTCTCAACCTGTTTACATAAACTGAACTAAATTCTATAAAATTGTTATATTATGTACAGTGGAGTATATTTCAGTATACTTAAACGATACATGATTGATCACATTTGGTTGGTGGCATGCAACAAAATGATGTTGAGAACCGCTATTCTATAATTACTTAATTATTCCATTATATTCTATCATATAAGGTCAAATAATATTGGAAAAATAATTTTGAAATGTTTAGATGCTGGGAACGGCGGTCTAGCTCTGTTGATGGAAGGGCCTGGTTACGCAGAAGTAACTTGCAAAGAACGTGACGACGGATCGTGCACTGTGCAATATCTTCCACCAAAGCCTGGTGACTACGAGATATCCATCAAATTCGCAGAGCAACACATTCCTGGATCTCCCTTCCAAGTCCGAGTTGTAAACGAAGCAAGCAACGTGACTACGTATGGTGACGGCCTAACAACCGCAAGAGAGAATCTACCATCGAAATTCATAGTAATTGCCTCGAAATGCAAGCCAGCTCAGTTGGATATCTCGTTGAAGACCGACAAAGGACAAGTTCAGAAGCCATCGATTAAAAACTGTGGGAATGGATTGTACGAAGTTATCTATCAACCACCACCTGCTGGAAGCAATCTGCAAATTGGTATCACTTATGACGGAGAACATATACCAGGCAGTCCTGTGAAATTGAAGGTTTTGCCGACTGTCGAACCAGAAAAAGTTGTTCTCTCGGGTCCTGGCGTGGCACCTGTTTGTACAGCATCTTTCCCAGTCGATTTTATCGTGGATACCTCTAAAGCTGGCTATGGTGACCTCGAAGTTCAAGTATTGGTAAGTAACAAATTAACGATTTATTATTCAGAGTAGTGGTTCCCAATATAGATCACTTGTATTTCCAAAGATATACAATAGTTCCTACTTTATTGTCTTCTAAAGTCTACAGTGATCATCAAAATTTAAAACTGAGCCGCCGAGTATACTTTTTACGCAGTATTCTTGCATTTTTAGATAAGGTTTTGTATATAACATGAATTTTCTACGTGATATCGTATTCTGTAAGCTTTTCTGAAAGAAAACTATGGATTAGGAATCTCTAAATAGTTTTCAATTTGATTAAATCTTGAAAATATTCGTCGGTAACACGTATACGGGATTAGGTTAGGTTAGGTTAGGTTAGGTTTAAACACGTATACGGGGTTTCAACGCCTCGACACTATTGTAATTACGTGTAGTTCGAGTACCAAGTGCAACAGAGCTGGCATATAGCAGTCTATGAAAAAAAAGAAGAAAAATACAATTTCGTTGTAAAATTGAGGAAAACTGAGAAAATTTAAAAGAAATTTTGAAAAATTACAATAGGTAGCAAATATTTTAAACTTAGGCAATTACTAGGTCTCACCATGTAGAGGTGGCTACGCATAAAGACTCTGGTCTTAGGGGCCTTAGAATACTATGCGTGGCTGAAAAGAAGTCATCTGAGAAACTTGTAGGACCGAATCCCCACCAACCCAACCATTCTAACGTCATAGCAGAAGTAGAGTAAAGCGCTTCCCTTATTGGCAGAACTGATCCCTTCCTATTAGCTCGGTCATAGAACGCCATGTGACAAAGAAAGCGAACGAAGCAACAAGACAAAGTGAGACAGACGCAACAAATAGATGCAAGAACGTAGACTCATCCCAAAAGCATATTAACTTCAAATTCTTCTGACGAACATATGATTATTTGCAATTACTAATTACTAATTAGCATCTCGATTAACTTTTCATTGCATTATGCAGCAAACGTGATGTACTATACACATATTTTTTATATTTATGTTGTATCGTATGATGTTTTTAAACGGTTATCTAGATGCAATTATATAATTAATTTATCATAAAAAATACATCTTAAATTTTAAATCAATTTTCATAAATGATGTTAATTATTATTACTTTTGTACTTCTTTACTTTATAAATCTTTGAGCTATTGTCATCTGATTCCCTATCTGACTTACTGCTTTGTATTTCCAATTCTAGGTCTTCAGTTGCGTCTTTTATTATTCCATCTTTCGTCTAATATTCGTGTTCCAGTGTTTCTACATGTTTACAAAATCCTTTCCAATCATTTGATGTCGTTTTGTTTATTGCCTGGCGTAGTAGTGCTTCCAATTCATTGTAAGTTGACTCTGAGATAACATTTCTTTCGTGGATATCTTACTCCTATGTTAACGTATCACGTTACCGAACTTGGAGATAGTAGTGTTGGGAGTGTCATAGAAGAGTGGGTATTACTAGTGGAATACCCTTCTTGCCCCGCATCCGAACGAGATGACTTCTTTTCAGCCACGCATAGTAAACGCCCCACTGGCAACCTTTTGTACTAAAAATACTCCTGTCTAACATGGAGCAAAAGCTAGTGACACTATGTATGTATAAAAGGGAATTTGGATCGGCATACTAAATTTGAATATTCTACTTAGAAAAATTCACATTTTTCGGAAACTAAGAGTGATCGACGAATTTTAATTTCGGATTCGTGTCTATGAAAGTAAACATTACAAGAATTAGTTAATGGATATTACAGATGAGAGAAAAAGTTAAAATTTGTTGGAGAGTGTAATTGTTTGGCAACATGACAGCAGATAACTATACATCCTACAGTTACAAGTTTGAAATAACAGCAACTATATAAATTATAATCATTCCTCTAGTATTGCAGCGTAGAACGTAAAGAAATTAGCTGTATGCAAATTATGCAAATTAAAAAATGTTGGGAACCACTAACTTAATGTTAGAAGATTATTTTTCAAATCATTATAAATTAAGACAGGATACTTTAAAACTCTTGAACTCTCTTTTGTATAAATCATTTTCAAAATATTGATTTAGCAAAGGTGGATTGTCACAGCACGTAGTTTAAAATTTGATAATCTTAAATTCTATTATGAAAGGTTATTTAAAGAAAAGTGTTTGTATATCAAAACATCTAAAGATATAAACGTTATACTAGTTGAAATACGTTAAAATTTATTGATAGAAATGTAACAGTAAAAATACAGAAAAATCCTTCTTCAAAAAATAATAAATTTTTCCATTGAGTACGTATACACAATAATTTGACTAATATTCTCGCTAAGCTGCGCGCATGCGTAGATACGTACTGACGCAAGTGCTCTGCGCACGCAGAACGTTTCCCGCGCAGTGGCGATTCATTTGTTTGATATGTCAGATATATTTCGATATCTAGCATTGTCGAAATTGTGTACTCAGAGAAATAACAGTCAAAGGGGGTGAGGAGGGGGAAGAAAAGGAAACAAATGTCGGCTGTATATACCAACCAAAAGCTCGTGAATGCATTCAATCTTCCTTTTTTGATACAATGATGCAAAATTTGAGTGAATAATATCCTTCTATACATCAGGTAATACTAATGTTGGCAACATATCAACTCGAGGATTCATATTTCGAGAATGACTTAAGCAAAAGGATACGAGTAAATTATCTTTTGAAAATATTTTCATGTCAGCTATATAATCACACAGTAGAAGATATAATTTTATATTAAGCAAACTTCATAATTAAAAATTATATAAAATAAATATAAGGTAATCATAAACAGCAAATTTATATTTTAGTATGATGTAATATATAATATTTATTTTTATTAATTTATCTATATGTATATTCAGTAACAATTATAAGGAGAAAAATGCTGGACCCCATTCAGTTGTACTCCATCCAGTATTTAATGCCAAATTTGAAGGTTAAAATGATATATGTATAAATTTTAGTACAACTAAAATAACTGTTACTTTATTTTATGTATGTAATCTTAAATCATAATATTTGATTTTAGGGTCCAGATCAAATGCCGCGTAGGGTTGAAATTCAGGACCTTAAAGGTGGAAAATATAAAGCAACCTATCTACCTGATGACTGTGGTCGTTACAAGGTCAATGTCAAATATGGGGATAAGGAGGTACCAGGATGTCCTGTGAATGTTCAAAGCGTTTCCACTGGTAAAGCTGATCAATGTAAAATCAAAGAGGGTATTCAACGCACCTTGGCCCAAGGTGAAGAGTACTGCATCACCGTGGACACCGAAAACGCGGGTCGTGGAGCGGTGACCTGTCGTATACGATCTACTTCCGGAAGGTAAGTCAATTTCTGCCCACTTTGCTTATTTAGTATAGTAAGTTACGAGAGGTAAAATTTTTACAAGAAGACTTAAATTATGATTTTAATTGCAGTAGCAGAGCATAGCTATTTTATTATGATGTAAGAAGTATGATGTAAAGTAGGAAAGATATAAATAAGGATTTATACAATATGGATCTTATCAATTACAATAATTTTTATCTGCGAGATATAGGAAAAATTCATATCATCTAAACATTACGTTTGTAAACAAAATAAAATTATTTAACACTTTTTGTGTTATTCAAATTATCTAGGAGAGTTTTGAAAAATTATGGCAGGTTTGAAAGATGCTTATCTTTGTCGTTGAACATATTGATGTCACTTTTAAAGTTACTAAACCGAATTTTTAGATCATAATTATGTGACAAATAAAAATATAACTGATTTATTTATACGGATATATTCAGATGATAAATTAATTGTAACTTTCATGAAGAAATTCGACTTAAAATAATTCAGTATTATGAAGTACAAAGTTCTGAAACATTTGTCAAAATTTTCTTCTAGCTTAATAAGAAAATTTGTTTCTTAAAATCTAGCAGAAAGATGTTTTTAAAAAATTTAGAAAAAATTATCCTGTCTTTGTATAGTTCTATTTAAATGTACAAACGCTATTAATTTCTTTTATTATTAATTATTACATTTTATTAATTACTGTTAATTTACGTATACATATTATTCACTATAAATTTCTTTACAGTAAAAATTCCAAAAAAATGTTTCACGTGGACAACCGCGAATTTGAATGTTAAACTACAGATTATTATAATTATTTACATAAAACTACATATAGTATTAATTTTAAATTAATTCTAGAGTTAGTAGGGAATTTGGTACAGTAATAGGAATAATTAGGAAGAATGCTTCTAAATTTTTGGCTATTAGTATAGATACAGTGATTACCATGAGTTTCATATTTTTTTACAGTTTCGAAGCATAATGAACATTTTGTTACACACTACTCCTATTATTATTACTATTATTTTCATTTTTTTAAATTTTATTTTTGTAGTTTTTTATTTCATTTTATTTTTACACATTTTTGCTAATTTTACCTTTGTTTATTTCTTACTTTTATTTCGATTGTAATCTGCACACTACTCCTATTATTATTACTATTATTTTCATTTTTTTAAATTTTATTTTTGTAGTTTTTTATTTCATTTTATTTTTACACATTTTTCCTAATTTTACCTTTGTTTATTTCTTACATTTATTTCGATTTATTTCTGCAAAGTTTATATTACGGAAAAACTTAGGTCACCCTGTACATTTTTATTATCGACAATTTATCAAACATTCTAAAACTTCTGTATCGACATATATAAAACGAACCTTTTCGAAAACGATTTATTCGAAATACAAATTCGATGATCGTGATGGATATTGGTGTCAAGTGTCAAGATCGAGTACGATACAGGAATGAGAAATTGGACAATTGGTAGCACAATCGATTCCCTGTATAGTCGCTTATTTATCGAAATCAGAGACACTGTGGACTCGAATTTCAATTAACAATAGTTAAAATTCCATCGGTTTGTGAATTCGAGAATAAAATAACGTTTACTCGGTTGTTATTCGCTGTAGAATGCCAAGAAACCTAAAAATTCTATTTAAATTCTCGATGTTTTTCTTGGTTGTAAATCTAATAACATGCTTCATCAAAATATTCGACTTCTTGATAGTAAATTTTCCGTTCGCATCTTGGCACAGTTAAATATTCGTGACACCTGTCGCAGAAATTTCCAATTTTGACAGAATCGCTTGTTTATTATTGCTTATTTACGTTCTCAAACCAATATTTCCCCATTATCATCAATGGTTCGAATTATCGCTTTGTAAGAAAATAGTTTCTCGATGTTTTGACTTCAAAATTTTCGCTGAAATGAGAGAAAATAAATTAACGACGGGTTTAGGATTTCTCTATTTTTGGTTTTTGATTAAATATGTTGACTGTAATTATAGATCTAGATTTTCTTCCGTTCCCGTAGTCTGTGCAAATTTGTGTTTATGAAAATGAGAATTAATTAATTATTAATTATTAAATTTTAATTTTACGTCCTACTCTGAACAATTATTAACTATAGTAAGATTAGAACAATCAAGCTCATTAAAAAAACTGGTTTCAAATATTTTATAAATGAACCTAACGTTGAGTTTTATTTGAATGAGAATTTTAATTATTATTATTATTTTGGAGGATTTTCAAATTTGATTATTTTGAAATAAAATAATTTTTTAAAGTATTTTATAAGAATATTTCATAAATTATTTTACGTGAGATGTACATTAATGTAATTGTAATTAAATGATTTATTTTTCATTTTATAAAATTGATTATTTGTTATTTGATCTTGATGAAAATAACTAGTTTCTTAATATGCAATATTAAATGTTTATATTATTACTGCTTTCTGTTAACGATTATTAGTATATTATTATTACTATTACCATTACTATTACTATTATGATTACTATTATTACGATTATTAGTATACTTATTCAGTACATAATCTATAGTATACTTATTCGATATCTCTTCTAACCTCGACTTGTTCGATTTACACGATTCACTCTAAGATTTTTAATTACTATTTAACTTAACTTTGTAGATTATAAGTTTGCTATTATAAGTTTGCTGATCACGATTTTTTCTGTGTCGATTACTGTTTACTCTCACCATATCGATTACAATCCATTTTAACATTACTGATTATGGTCTATTATATTATGGTCGATCCTCTATTCACTACGTCTCGACTACACACATTCTATCTTCTGCCTTCTTTAGCTTCTCTGCCTTCTCTGTGCCCTTGCACCCTTATTTAACACGTTAAGTGCCACGCCGGTCCCCAGGGACCGACGCTGGTGTCACGGAAAAGGTGGTTAGAGTCAAACAACTCCCGATGACAATAAATTATCGAGTTCGAACGTTCGTTCGAACTAGGTTGAATTGTTCGGACAATGCAAAGAGTCGAGATATTTAAGTGTTCGTGTCTATTGTACCGTAGTATCAATAGGTCTTTACCAGTAGCGCAATTATAATGTCCCGTAGTAACATATACAACTCGCGAGTAAAGGTTCAACGAAATTCTGTATGGTTTGATGGTACGCTTAAGACTGTTTTATTCTCTAGCTCGGTCAGCTTTTATACATGAGTTGTTTGGGGGTGGTTCCAAAGAGTGGGGAAGGATATTTATGATTATTGGAGATAAGTGAGTGTTAAGCCTTGGAATGTCGTCCCGGTATTTCATTCGGCCCTTTGTTTATAATAGGCCCAGAAGACCGTTAGGGTCTTCTGGCAGCCAGATTCTAATTGCTGTTTTAGTTCAAGTTCCGTGTCCTTTCTATCTTCATTTTCAATGCATTTTCAAACAATTCTTTATTTCCCTCGGGTCACCGGACACGAGGCTTTCTTTAGCCATTAATGTCAGAAAGCAGGCAACAGCACTTAGGATTTGGCTGACAATAGGCCTGCAAAGAAAGGGACCAGGCCATGTGCGATGTCGCGACTTTCGGAGCCATAAAGTAACGGGTCCTTCAGGAAGGATCACGAATGTGCCGGTGGTCCACCAGCGACCCCCTTTGAGGGAGAGGCTTCCTCCACCGGCAGACCTGGTCGGCCTCTATACCTGGGGAAGTCAAAAAATATCCTACAATAAGATGTCTGGCAGTGTGGGAAATTGGAATTGAGCGTTTGTGTAGAGGGTTAAATTTTAGGATAATAAGTCTATTTTTGGGTATGGCGCCAGATAACTATGCAGGAGGTTGATAATTTTGGGCAGGGGAAGCAAGTTTGAAAGTAGGATTGTAGGGGTTTATCACACTAGACCGGCCCAAATTGGGACTAAAAGGTGCTAAATTTTGATGTTAAATTCTTCGCCATCTTTGGACCTAACGTTTGGGAATTCCTGTTATAACAATTGGTACAGTATTTCCGAGTTTTGTGAACACTTCATTCGCCATCGGTGGCCCAATTGACGGCCGAGTCTGGGCCTGAACAGAACGACAAGCAAAACACGTGTTAAAGTGGGTAATTAATATGTTAAAGTCTAACACTCTCTCTTTTCATACACAAGCTCTCTTCGTTGATCACTCATTTCTCACGCAATCTCGCCTTTGGTGGACCAAGTACTCCACACATTCGGACGCATTCCTAGACTTTCGTTCATTCCTTGCACTGAACTCATTGTCAGTCATAAATATCTCATCCGTACAGTCCTCACACTTGGTCACCAATCCGTCCACATGCACTCCAGACATCGTCCTAAACGCCTAAGTCGAAGCCGATGTCGTTGTTTATTATTCCCTTGCTAGAGTCTTTCGGTGCTCGCAACCCTAGCTATATATGGCCGTATATCTATATATCTACCCGGTATATACAGTGACTCACAAAAATATTCGGACACTAAGGTATGTCTGAATTAATCACTTAGTATCGCAGATACTTATACACGGATCGTGTTCGTTATTTATTCTGGGGATAAGATGTTTATTTAAGTTAACAAAGCCATGTGTTTTATTTAATAAATTTATATGGATTTACTATAACAAATTATAAATAAAATAATACCCTATTTACACGTCACAAAAATATTCGGACACTTGGCATAAATAACATTATATAACCCTAATTTATTTATATAAACACATTTTTTAATATTTTGTCGCATAGCCTCTTTGTTTCAATACGTGCCTCAATCTGTTAGGCATATTAAAAAATGATTTTTCCCAAATAATTAGTACCGATAGCAGCCCACTCCTCCAGCAACCTTTGTTTTAGTTCCTCTTTTGAGTTAATTGCTGTCTTTCGTATTCTGCGATCTAACTTATCCATAAATTTTCAATGGGATTGGGGTCCAGCGATTGTGGTGGGGGATGAAGAACTTTCGGGCAACGATAAAGCAAGAATTCTTGAACAATGCGTGCTTTATGTTTGGGGTCGTTATCCTGAT